TTCATTGTGGTCTTCGCCATGAGACGCTTATTCCTGTGATTTTTAGGTCTTTGCCTCTCTGGACGATCTTCTGGAATGGACTTGTTATTTGTTTTGTCAACTTTTAAATTATAAAATCTACCATATTCACTTTCCAGACATATTTTTGCTAAACACCGATAATTTGTTCGCTTGTTTGTTCATTTGTCCCATGGAATACATACTACTATCCACTCAAACAAAGCTTCTCCACGTCATTGACGCATGATTATGGAGCAACCGTATTTTGGACGATGTATCTGAAGGCACCTGCAATTTTTATGTTGGACGGGCTGAAGTTGCGCGTCATGTCATCGAACTTCGCATTGGAATAGGTGTGCATACAGTCCTCGTTACCCTCCTTTGTCTTGTTGCCTTCACGGGACACCAATTTGCGGATTTTGTTGAAGTAACTCTTCATTTAGATTCCCGTCGGGTTTGTATGTAGCGGCGTGAATATATGATCGGCAGACACGGCCATTTCGACTATGGTCTTGGCAACGCCACTCCACTTTGAATATGGAATATCTTTGAGGACATTTGTTGGTTGATTGGTGCTTGAATGTGGTTCAACGCCAACCTTACCACTATTATCCCTACTTTATAGGATACTTTCATATTTCATCCTTCTGGCGTTCAATTACGTCGCAATTTTGTGTACTAGTCAAATGAGCTGGAGCCAAAATGATCTACATTCGCGCTTGAAGGTAGATGAAGAGCCATCAGGTGCATATTACACTCCTGCGGCTGTGCCGAAATGTTCGGAAGAAAAGAGACGCCCAGCATATACGTCCACGCCATCAGCAACCTCGCGTTCTGCTACAAAGACCCCGCAGTCTCCGGTAGGTTTGGAATGTCTTTTTACAGTTTCAGACTGTGAAGGCGTTTATTCCCTTACTGTGTACCGGTCTTGTAGGTTAGTGAACCTTCCTGAATCACTCAAATATAACTTTGAAACTTTGGTTTGCACGCAAGTGTCCGAGGCGATGGAATGAATACTGACAACTAAAAGTGACTGAAACTTCATTGATCCCATGTCGGGTGATAATTCGTTGCCATGCAAGCTGGAACTAACTTAGTGTACTACGTGGTCTACATTAGTTGCTTTTTTTCAACTTACACACTCATCTGCATACCAATTGGGTTTTGACTGGAGACTCACCTACAACCCAGCTGAATATCTCGTTTATGATGTTCTTCTTTTACATCATGAGCCTCTCACAGTTGACGTAATTCAATGGTTTTTCCCTTCGAAAATAAAATCAGTCATCGCTTCTGTGGAGTATCTCAGTTAAGTTTGAAGTGAGACGTCTTTTGCCTGTTACACACAGACTTGAAATCAGGTCAATTCTACTTCTGTTGAGAGTCATGCGAGCCTCTAGCTCACACGATGACTGCGTACTGGCGTACGATGCATGCACGCAAGGGGCATGTTTAGTAGGATTCATTATTAAATCGCCTAGTAGAATTGATTAGAGGTAGGCAACCAATAATCAGATGTTTTCTCAACGGTTCTGAACGATGAATTCCCTAGCTGCAGATTTTAACATGGGTCTTCCAAAAAGTTAAAAGTGACAATTTTGGAGGTGTCCAACTTAGTGCATCTAAGGGTAGCCTTAGTGCTGGTTTGAGTGCCTTGATGTAAACATTCTCCATATGCCTATTGTCACCGGTGTCTACTCATAAAGTACGAACTTGGCTTTGTAGAGAAGGGAGTGGTACTCTTCCGTAATGCATTGTTGTGTTTCTGAAAAAAATGCTCTGATAGGCTGGTGCAGCGTCGCTGAACATGTACCGTGTTCTGTCAGTGGACATGGGTATGTGGCAAGCTTTCTGCGTTCCACCAGGCCTTAGGCTTAGTTCTGTTACACGTGAATAGTTCAAAACAATTATCGATTCTCGCAGAGGGTCGGATAATTACCAAGTTCTGGCCTTGGAATTCGACCGGATGCGTGGCCGGATGTGGCAGTTCCCGTAAAGATATTTCGTCCCTTTTTTGTACCCATCAGACAAGTCGGTTCAATTACACGACCCCTCGATTACAAGTTATAAGCCGTTGGGGTAAAACTCATTTGCAAGCCGACCACTTGTTGGAAGCATGCGAATTTGATTTGAAATTTGGTTCTTGTTTTAAGCACTTGATGGACCCAAATGGAGGCTTAGCGCTTCGTGTGACTGAGCTTTTCCGGAACTAGCCACGTCTGTAGTCGCTTTAGTTTCACATCACGGTTATACGTGTTTCTGCGCCACAAAACTCTATTTTTCTCTTGATTGAATCAGGTATGGGACGACGCTAGTTCTCTGTTCTGCAGTAATGAACGATATTCCGCCTTGCTGAAGCAAGTTGGTTCAATAGCCAAGGCGTGGGATTTGGAGCATACTCGTGCGTGTGACTCGTTTACCCGTCTAGCCACGTGTATTCTGCACTGCAATCAAGGTGGGTGGTTTTCACCGTTCCAGCCAGTTTTTCATGTTCACTCATCTGGCGATTATTCATTCTTGAAACTGATTGTTTCGATTTTTCGGTACTTTCTGATCGTTTGCCTGAGCTGCCCAGTCAGCTGTTCATTCTGTTTTCTAGGCGTTTACTCGTTGGAAGTCTCCGTAATCGTCATTTTACTAGCCGTGTGTGTTTTCGGCACACCTTTGCAGCATCGTTAGAGCATCCAGCAGTTTATAGGTACTCATCTGATCTGAGAACTACATGTTTTCATTCGATTGCTAACTATGGACTTATCTTAGTTCCGTAAATTCAGGAGAATCTTGGATAGTACAATTTAATAATTCTGTTGAATAGGAGTTCAATTTATCTTGCATTATTTCACCGTGGCTAACTTGTTTGGACTTTCATCCTTTGGCAAATTGGCCCTCACCAAATAAATCAAATATACTTACGAAATAAGGCGGCGGTAAAACCAGATGTTTGTGTGACATTTTCAGACGAAAGCATTTTACCTAGAATTCCGTCGTCAAGTTCTCTTTCAACTTTGGTGAACTTTTGCAGTTGTTGTCGATTTAGACTCAGTCACTCAGCCTAGACTTGAATAGTATCTCAGCCTCCGTGCTTCCCTGCACTTTCACAGCAGCAATGCACCGAATGGGTGCCGATGCTTCACGATTTTATACCACATACTTGAAAATCGGCTGAAATAGGCCATAAATAGAGATGACCTGGACTTATGATATACACTTTGTACTGTATCTGCATTGATGCCTGTGAAGTATAGTCGATGTTCTGCTCGCTGAGCCTGGCAACTCGGTTGTACGCGTTTCGCCACCAATTGGGGTGACATCTGTATGAAAGCGTTGGGGGTGTTTCAAAATGGGGCTTAGGACGTTAAGTGCTGAGTTTGTCCGCCGACTAATGGTTGCCAAACGGAAGTTCAAGATAGATTTAAAACGATCGAGATAACTGCTTGCTGTTCAACAGCCCTAATGGTTTAGTTGCTTGCGGTTGCTTACTCCTATTTAGAGGTTCTCACTGAAATAAATTCAATAGGGAATGGACCGTATTGGAATCAATAACTGAACTTTCTATCTATGACCCATACTCCTTGCACAGCTTTGATGTCGGACAAGTCATGTTTTCTGATCTTTCAGAATCTTAATTTAGGTTCGCTGGATCCCTTCCCCGTTTTTTGATGCCACTGTTTTGAGTTACTCTACACCAAAGACACGAGCGAATACTCATAAACTGCCTCCAATACGAAGAGCATTATTGGGAAAAGTTGCTACTTACACTCATAGAAATGCCGCCTAAATTACACCGCTTTTTCTTGTAATCTGATAGGGCGAATGCCAGACGGTTTGAACCTGGAAACTATGCCTCTTGATGCTGCGAAGTTGCTCCGGGATGGTCTAACAGAACAGGCCCGTAAACTTTGTTTCGGTTATGCAATTGAAACCGGATTTTCCGAAGTACAGTCGCACATCGAAAATCTGACGGAATGCAGAAGACACTTAAATGCATGGGTAAGGCCAACTAGATTGTCACATACATCCCTCTGATAGGTTACATGCTAGGATACGTGGAAACTGTATGCATGATTCTATTTTCCCTCCAAGATGTTGTGTGATATTGTGTTCATCCCATGTACCTTACTTCGATGTCATTTGATGAACGACGATAACGTGGCGATTCAATGTGCATCTAAAAGAATGCCCTTTTCCAGACGGTATGCCGTCGAATACATCTGAAACAAGGTTAAAGGTGGGAAAAACATGATATTTCCAGTGGTTGTGCCGATGGCTTTCACACACTGCTAAAAGACATGAGCACCTTCAGCGATGGTTGCGGCCTCGAGGTATACCATTCAGGTCACAATGTTACATAAGACAACGTGATATTTCGTATGCTTGCGGATGGGTCAACCGTGCTTTTGTTGCCCAGCGGAAAGGGAACTGAATGCAAACAACCTCTTTTGGAGGTTTTCTTAGGCTATACTCTGGCGTCATTTTTCTTTTGCGCGATTTTATTTGCATCGGACAACCGTTCGGGAGATTTACTCTGGTCTTGTACGGTAACGTGGCCGAGACTGATCGGTTGCCGTGAAACAGCAGTAACTCGTGTTCATAATGACCGACACCGCTTACAATTCCTAATTTTCGCTGAGGCCAGCTTATCTGACTGGTTCCGATTACAACATTTCTATTTCAACTGAAACTACTGTAACCTTAAATACACCTGGATCGTTCACTTTTTCTTGTCTTTTCAATATATTCTTGTTCTACCAACTTCAATTTTCTTAAAAGCAGTAAGGAGCCATATTGCTCTTCAATTGTGTCGTATTAAGAGTTCCAGATAGCATGAATGCTGCAGAATTTCAATGTTGGTTAGGTGCACTCGAAGTCTGATTAATCGTACCTGATGTTATCCATTGTATGTTGTGTTATTGCATGCTAATATTTTGGTCAGCTTCAACCAAATTCAGCTTCCTCATCACTGAGGGTTTCAATCAGCATATATCCTTTCTATTTTATAGATTAGTCAACTGTCGGCCACGGGAGAGCTTGTGGAACAGACTTCGCAACTTAGTTTCTCTTCACCCAAGCCATCAGTCGGTGGAAACTCACCCCTACCGATTTTTTGGACAGCAGTCATTGCAGCTAGTCAAATGAGCTGGAGCCAAAATGATCTACATTCGCGCTTGAAGGTAGATGAAGAGCCATCAGGTGCATATTACACTCCTGCGGCTGTGCCGAAATGTCGGAAGAAAAAGAGACGCCCAGCATATACGTCCACGCCATCAGCAACCTCGCGTTCTGCTACAAAGACCCCGCAGTCTCCGGTAGGTTTGTATTGTCTTTTTACAGTTTCAGACTGTGAAGGCGTTTATTCCCTTACTGTGTACCGGTCTTGTAGGTTAGTGAACCTTCCTGAATCACTCAAATATAACTTTGAAACTTTGGTTTGCACGCAAGTGTCCGAGGCGATGGAATGAATACTGACAACTAAAAGTGACTGAAACTTCATTGATCCCATGTCGGGTGATAATTCGTTGCCATGCAAGCTGGAACTAACTTAGTGTACTACGTGGTCTACATTAGTTGCTTTTTTTCAACTTACACACTCATCTGCATACCAATTGGGTTTTGACTGGAGACTCACCTACAACCCAGCTGAATATCTCGTTTATGATGTTCTTCTTTTACATCATGAGCCTCTCACAGTTGACGTAATTCAATGGTTTTTCCCTTCGAAAATAAAATCAGTCATCGCTTCTGTGGAGTATCTCAGTTAAGTTTGAAGTGAGACGTCTTTTGCCTGTTACACACAGACTTGAAATCAGGTCAATTCTACTTCTGTTGAGAGTCATGCGAGCCTCTAGCTCACACGATGACTGCGTACTGGCGTACGATGCATGCACGCAAGGGGCATGTTTAGTAGGATTCATTATTAAATCGCCTAGTAGAATTGATTAGAGGTAGGCAACCAATAATCAGATGTTTTCTCAACGGTTCTGAACGATGAATTCCCTAGCTGCAGATTTTAACATGGGTCTTCCAAAAAGTTAAAAGTGACAATTTTGGAGGTGTCCAACTTAGTGCATCTAAGGGTAGCCTTAGTGCTGGTTTGAGTGCCTTGATGTAAACATTCTCCATATGCCTATTGTCACCGGTGTCTACTCATAAAGTACGAACTTGGCTTTGTAGAGAAGGGAGTGGTACTCTTCCGTAATGCATTGTTGTGTTTCTGAAAAAAATGCTCTGATAGGCTGGTGCAGCGTCGCTGAACATGTACCGTGTTCTGTCAGTGGACATGGGTATGTGGCAAGCTTTCTGCGTTCCACCAGGCCTTAGGCTTAGTTCTGTTACACGTGAATAGTTCAAAACAATTATCGATTCTCGCAGAGGGTCGGATAATTACCAAGTTCTGGCCTTGGAATTCGACCGGATGCGTGGCCGGATGTGGCAGTTCCCGTAAAGATATTTCGTCCCTTTTTTGTACCCATCAGACAAGTCGGTTCAATTACACGACCCCTCGATTACAAGTTATAAGCCGTTGGGGTAAAACTCATTTGCAAGCCGACCACTTGTTGGAAGCATGCGAATTTGATTTGAAATTTGGTTCTTGTTTTAAGCACTTGATGGACCCAAATGGAGGCTTAGCGCTTCGTGTGACTGAGCTTTTCCGGAACTAGCCACGTCTGTAGTCGCTTTAGTTTCACATCACGGTTATACGTGTTTCTGCGCCACAAAACTCTATTTTTCTCTTGATTGAATCAGGTATGGGACGACGCTAGTTCTCTGTTCTGCAGTAATGAACGATATTCCGCCTTGCTGAAGCAAGTTGGTTCAATAGCCAAGGCGTGGGATTTGGAGCATACTCGTGCGTGTGACTCGTTTACCCGTCTAGCCACGTGTATTCTGCACTGCAATCAAGGTGGGTGGTTTTCACCGTTCCAGCCAGTTTTTCATGTTCACTCATCTGGCGATTATTCATTCTTGAAACTGATTGTTTCGATTTTTCGGTACTTTCTGATCGTTTGCCTGAGCTGCCCAGTCAGCTGTTCATTCTGTTTTCTAGGCGTTTACTCGTTGGAAGTCTCCGTAATCGTCATTTTACTAGCCGTGTGTGTTTTCGGCACACCTTTGCAGCATCGTTAGAGCATCCAGCAGTTTATAGGTACTCATCTGATCTGAGAACTACATGTTTTCATTCGATTGCTAACTATGGACTTATCTTAGTTCCGTAAATTCAGGAGAATCTTGGATAGTACAATTTAATAATTCTGTTGAATAGGAGTTCAATTTATCTTGCATTATTTCACCGTGGCTAACTTGTTTGGACTTTCATCCTTTGGCAAATTGGCCCTCACCAAATAAATCAAATATACTTACGAAATAAGGCGGCGGTAAAACCAGATGTTTGTGTGACATTTTCAGACGAAAGCATTTTACCTAGAATTCCGTCGTCAAGTTCTCTTTCAACTTTGGTGAACTTTTGCAGTTGTTGTCGATTTAGACTCAGTCACTCAGCCTAGACTTGAATAGTATCTCAGCCTCCGTGCTTCCCTGCACTTTCACAGCAGCAATGCACCGAATGGGTGCCGATGCTTCACGATTTTATACCACATACTTGAAAATCGGCTGAAATAGGCCATAAATAGAGATGACCTGGACTTATGATATACACTTTGTACTGTATCTGCATTGATGCCTGTGAAGTATAGTCGATGTTCTGCTCGCTGAGCCTGGCAACTCGGTTGTACGCGTTTCGCCACCAATTGGGGTGACATCTGTATGAAAGCGTTGGGGGTGTTTCAAAATGGGGCTTAGGACGTTAAGTGCTGAGTTTGTCCGCCGACTAATGGTTGCCAAACGGAAGTTCAAGATAGATTTAAAACGATCGAGATAACTGCTTGCTGTTCAACAGCCCTAATGGTTTAGTTGCTTGCGGTTGCTTACTCCTATTTAGAGGTTCTCACTGAAATAAATTCAATAGGGAATGGACCGTATTGGAATCAATAACTGAACTTTCTATCTATGACCCATACTCCTTGCACAGCTTTGATGTCGGACAAGTCATGTTTTCTGATCTTTCAGAATCTTAATTTAGGTTCGCTGGATCCCTTCCCCGTTTTTTGATGCCACTGTTTTGAGTTACTCTACACCAAAGACACGAGCGAATACTCATAAACTGCCTCCAATACGAAGAGCATTATTGGGAAAAGTTGCTACTTACACTCATAGAAATGCCGCCTAAATTACACCGCTTTTTCTTGTAATCTGATAGGGCGAATGCCAGACGGTTTGAACCTGGAAACTATGCCTCTTGATGCTGCGAAGTTGCTCCGGGATGGTCTAACAGAACAGGCCCGTAAACTTTGTTTCGGTTATGCAATTGAAACCGGATTTTCCGAAGTACAGTCGCACATCGAAAATCTGACGGAATGCAGAAGACACTTAAATGCATGGGTAAGGCCAACTAGATTGTCACATACATCCCTCTGATAGGTTACATGCTAGGATACGTGGAAACTGTATGCATGATTCTATTTTCCCTCCAAGATGTTGTGTGATATTGTGTTCATCCCATGTACCTTACTTCGATGTCATTTGATGAACGACGATAACGTGGCGATTCAATGTGCATCTAAAAGAATGCCCTTTTCCAGACGGTATGCCGTCGAATACATCTGAAACAAGGTTAAAGGTGGGAAAAACATGATATTTCCAGTGGTTGTGCCGATGGCTTTCACACACTGCTAAAAGACATGAGCACCTTCAGCGATGGTTGCGGCCTCGAGGTATACCATTCAGGTCACAATGTTACATAAGACAACGTGATATTTCGTATGCTTGCGGATGGGTCAACCGTGCTTTTGTTGCCCAGCGGAAAGGGAACTGAATGCAAACAACCTCTTTTGGAGGTTTTCTTAGGCTATACTCTGGCGTCATTTTTCTTTTGCGCGATTTTATTTGCATCGGACAACCGTTCGGGAGATTTACTCTGGTCTTGTACGGTAACGTGGCCGAGACTGATCGGTTGCCGTGAAACAGCAGTAACTCGTGTTCATAATGACCGACACCGCTTACAATTCCTAATTTTCGCTGAGGCCAGCTTATCTGACTGGTTCCGATTACAACATTTCTATTTCAACTGAAACTACTGTAACCTTAAATACACCTGGATCGTTCACTTTTTCTTGTCTTTTCAATATATTCTTGTTCTACCAACTTCAATTTTCTTAAAAGCAGTAAGGAGCCATATTGCTCTTCAATTGTGTCGTATTAAGAGTTCCAGATAGCATGAATGCTGCAGAATTTCAATGTTGGTTAGGTGCACTCGAAGTCTGATTAATCGTACCTGATGTTATCCATTGTATGTTGTGTTATTGCATGCTAATATTTTGGTCAGCTTCAACCAAATTCAGCTTCCTCATCACTGAGGGTTTCAATCAGCATATATCCTTTCTATTTTATAGATTAGTCAACTGTCGGCCACGGGAGAGCTTGTGGAACAGACTTCGCAACTTAGTTTCTCTTCACCCAAGCCATCAGTCGGTGGAAACTCACCCCTACCGATTTTTTGGACAGCAGTCATTGCAGAATCACATGCTCTGCTCTCTCGAATCGACAAAGATCTACACTACAGGCAACAGGTCCTACTCGATTCCGTTTCGCACTGCCTAACTGCGGAGGGTGCTTATCGATTGGCACTTCTGTGGCGGCACCTGGGTAACCTGATCCGATGGTCTGCGGTGACAGAATTAACTGACCATGCTTTAGAAACCATTCGATATCTTGCTCAGTAAAGTTTTCGCGCTGTGATTGTTGTCCGGAATTTGAATTCAAAACGTTCCTGTAAATACATGTATACAAATCCTCTTGTATCGACTTGCTGTCATCATACGAGAGTGCATAGGTACAGGATGTTTTCGTTTTGTTTTTTTACCGCTGTACAAACTCAAACAGTTGTCGTTTCGCGAAGAGACCAATACTGGATCGCTTGCAACTGATGTGCACAGTAACGTGATCGTATTAGATAGGTAGCCTTTGGATGGCTGAAGCACCGTATGAATAAGATTCTCTTCGGATGAAAACTATGGTTACTTCTGTTTCAGGCTGGCTACTGCTGCTACACTCTGAAGGGAATACGGGGTTTACGGGTTCTGATTTATTCGGCTTAAAAGAGATGGCTAAGCCATGAGAAGGTGCAAGACCAACTCAGCAGAGCTCAGAATCACAGGAGACGCAAAAGACATCCCAAATAGTTTCGGATAAGGCTCTGGTTTAATGCGCCGTTTTCAGTGCGACGTTAAAAGCATGCATCCTATGGGTTACAAAGCCAATATTATGCTGGTGTAGTGGCTTCCCACAAAGCGAGGTTTGTATGGATTGGAACAACAACCAGTCCAAAACGTGCTCCATTCTTCGATTGGTACAGAGATGCATGGTCGTCATTAGCGTACCTGTAAACCTGGTGTCCCCTATGTTGTGGTCTTGACTGAGTACGGGTGGCCCATTAAAGGGGCTTCAATAGCTATACACTAGCTGTCGTTTGTACGAAACAAGGGCAAGTAGCACATTGATGTGTTCGGGCAGAGGCGAGCTTGGAATTTAGTCTTACTGCATGGATATTTCATATCAGTCAGACTCAAAATACGGCGGAAAGAGCAGGTACCCGTTAGTTCCGGAATTCCCTGAAAAAAGAATCCTCCCGAAGATTCTAGAAAGACACTCGGAGAAGCGTATGACCAAAAAACAAACATACACTAATCACGAATGCTCCATTAGGCTTTGTGGCCAATGAAAATCCCGGTACATGGGATTCACAGCGGTTATAAACCAGTGGACATTTTCAGCGCTTATAGCCAACTGCCTCTGTCAGGTTGCAAATCAATGGAGGGGTGGGGTAGAGAAGATTTTCCGACTGTTGCTTAGACAGCAGTTGATCTGCTCCTTAGGCTTTGCACTTGGCTTTCATCATCCTTCGAGGGAACATCGTTATTACTCTCTGCACTGGGTTTCAAATGGGTTGAGGGCGAATGAAGGTCTCCATTATGTCCAAACGATTTTCTCGGCTTCTAATCATATACATCACCTCGTTAAAGTAGGACGCTGTCACACACGTAGACTTTTTGAAATAAATTCTCGCTTGTCGTCTAAACAATCGAGTTTTACCACTAAATGTAAATTTTGACCCGTCATTGTTACTGCATCCCAAAAAATCGGTAGCAGTTCCGTTTGGATCCGACCCTGCAGGGTGCTTTCCGTATAGCTGCCGCCGCTGAAGCAGAATTAGCGTACGAATTCCCCTGTAAGAAGTAGCGTTTTCCAAGTTACTTCAAGGGACGATAGACCCTGAAATTACCCCTAAACTTGCCGATCTAATAAGTTTAGTGGCATTTACGTTGGAAGGTGGACAATTTCTCCTAACAGTCCAAGTTGGCTCGGCGATACCTAACTCCGTAATGGTAAATTACAATGGGTGCGTATAAAATTGGGCTGGTTTCATCCTTACGATGAGTCACATTGTGCGTCCCTCCTCGCAGGCGTCACCGGTCAGGTCGTTTTTGGTATCCCCGACAATCTCAAATACACTACTGTGGTTCATAGCCTCGATGAAAATTCCCGCCAGAAGTGGGTCCCCTTGAAAGGGCAAACACACTCTGCTCGACAACAACATTTGGCGCCTGAGCAATACTAAAAAAAAGAAAAGAAAACCAACACAACCATCTCATTCAAGTCTTAATTTTTGGGCTCACGTGAACGTCCGGAGTTTGCCACATACGAAAGTGGTTCAGTATGACTTCACCTCTCTAATCCAATAGGGACTTCATGTTAGCATGTCGCCTCAGTCAAATCAATTTTAAGTTCACACTACCACCAACAAAATAATCAAGATCAGTTAATAAGCAGACAGGCTAATGAGAAAAAGACGTTGATTGGCATGAGCGAACCTTTACGAGCCTGGTTTTACCGCTTCTTAAGGTCCCCTCAGAGGAACGTCTTCGAACGGGTCATACAGTGGGTTGTCGTGATTCCAGAAGCGCCAACCACCCGTATACAACGAGAAAATCTTTGGTTCGAATCAGAATTTGACAGTAGTATCCACCACCTACAAGTGAAACCTTATAGTCCGTTCTAGTCACTTCGCAACTTCATCGTGCGGCGTAACGGAGCAAGTTGACCGAACTGATCGGCCACTTGGGCGAAGTCACCGAACCACTAGGATGTACAGAAATAACAAAAACTGATTACACTATCAAGTCAGCCAACCGGCATGGAAATCGCGCCACTAGGTTGTTCAACTCGGACGCAGAACCCACAACATGAGTTGTGATAATCCCTTCAAGTCATCCGGCTTTATATGTTTATGTGACCCAGACAAGCATAATAATTTTGTTTAGAAAATTAAACACTCACCTGAAATTTAAGATAGTGTTGAGGTCAGACTGAAATGAACTTATCATTGTGATATTATTCAACCAAGTTTACTGCACTCCGCGTTTCAGATCTCGAAGTACAGAAGACCTTCCCTCTAAACAGGCAGTGCTTCTTGGGATCGCTGGTTTCATTGAGGATTTTATCTTTATAAATTGTTGGTAACCAGGTAAACAATGGAGTAATACTATCGAAAATATACTATTTATCATTGATTAGCTTAACAAGTTTAGCCCGGAAAAGTGGGATCCGTGCATTCCACATCCAATAACACTGACCTTATGCATCATATTGCTCACGAAAGAGAATTATTCCAAACAACTTGAATGTCGACCCAACTGAACCAAAACACACTTTTCTACCCAAAATCAGTTGAATAGCCCACGAGAGCGCTACTGAAGCTGGACTGTGATTACACCCTTCATCAACATAAGTACTATGCCATGGGCTCTACACAGCTCAAGTTTTTAGTAACCGATAGTATGATACCTAAGTCCTCGTCGTAAACAATCACATAAAGAGTACTCGGTAAATGATGTACGTTGCATCAAATGAAGTGGTTAAAAGTCCGCCCTTCTGAGATTTGAAACACCCACTTTTGAACGCGCACGCTTCAGAAATCAAATGAGAAAAGCATATTATGCCAAACAATGCGATAATTACGCTAAGCTGATACACCCAACTAGGCGGTGTCCCAAAACCCTACAGGGCATCTTGGGATTTTGGCCTATTAAAGATTATCTCGCGTTAAACCTTTTCGGTTTACACAAATCACTTGAACGTTGAGAGTTTGCTTGTTGGTGAGAGGAACATAGTACTACCAGTAGGGACGACTACCGGTTTCGTCATTTGCGGGCTTATCAGGCAAGTATAGTTTCCGGATTGTCATGAAGCCTATTTCACACTTAAACATCAAAACAATCATTCCCAAATTGGAAAGGGAAATGAAGGATACATTTGCCTCACGTTAGCACCATCCTAATTTTCAAACGATGTGTCCAAGCAAGAAATAAGACTGACGGAACCAAAGGAGAGCTGTCAGGGCGTTTTCGCTCGCTTCGCATGTTATATCATAACAGATCAACCATATCATAAACTCCCTTCCTTAATGGAAAAAAGGATAGATGATTTTCACGAGTTCAACACAAAGCTTTGCACCGTCCACTATGCATCAATAATAAGAAAGGTAGCCACATTTGCAAAGAAATTAGAGTTAAATCCGCCCATTAGAACCTTGCATTCTGCGCTCCAAGCGCATCAAGCCTCAAGATCCTCCCCTACGTCAAGACAGTGTTGTGAAGCACCAACATATCGCATTTATCATGGTAGCCACTTTTTGATAAAAACAGTATTGCGAACGAACTTACTGCATCATTGTTATTATTACATCATTTTTCAGGTACGTTATGATGTTGCCGACCAATTTATTCGGTTATCATCATTCGTTGCTTAAAGCCAGTCTCCAGCCACGCCGAAATCAGACCCAATGTGATAAACCGCAGGATGAAATAATTATATGTACAGGAGCAAAATGCACGCAGAAATCCATCGGACTTCAATCTGTTAGGTCTAGCCCGTATTCTTTGTACAGGTCACGTACTAGACAGCCCTTGACGTGAGCCAACCGTCCAAAGAGTTGCAAACATGCGTCTTTTGCTTCGTTGTATGCGTGCATGCGATTTCGCCAGAGAGCTAACTCCTTTTCAACATCCAGAGGCTCGTTTCGACCTTCCATTAATTTTGCTGTCAACCGTTCAATCTCCTGCTGCAAGTCCGTTTCATCGTTCACCTCAGATTTCCGCTTGATTTCGGTATGAATCGGTCCAGGAAGCTCAGCCTGTAGGATGGATGTCAAACAGATAAGATCAACCAGAATATTCCAATATGTTGCATAGTTAGGAGCGGAGAGCAGACTTAAATTGGGAGAGCTGCGGTCTAGAAATATGTTGGTACCCGTGAATCCTAAGGAAGTTAGAAAACTGGAGCGCAGTTATCCTAAATATGAATGACGCCCTCCGAGGAACCCTGTGCAAATCCGTATATTCTGTTCCCCCACCCAACGAAAAAGGAGGATATTAATTTCAGAACTCTTCCGTTTAAGGGGATACCTCAGACCATACACATCAGTCAGGTTTCAATACAACTTTAGGCTAATAGTAACCACCACTATACATGAGAGCAGTCACGCGAGCGATGCGACTGCAATCGACCCGTTGGCTTCAAGTGCGTAGTTTTGGGATGTGGGCTGTTCTACACGATTATTCCACCTGGCTCTATGTCCGATTTTCCTGATGACGTTAATATACTCGGCTTAGATTCCGAAATGTGTTCTGAAAGGCGATTTCTAGAATAAGCGCCTATCCAACCTGGGAGCATTTTAAATTAGACCACAAGTTACATATAGCGGTCTCCTCGAAATCTGGCACTGCTTCCATCACCATGTATTTTTAAAGGTAATCCGGAAGAATTAACCAAGCAATGAGAGAATCCTACTTTGACGGGTTCAGTCTCTGCAATTTTACAACCAGAACACAACTTAGCCTACAATAGTTTCTATTCTTGATTATGAATGATCCACAAGCTAGTTCACTCGGCTGACTGCACACAACAATTTGATGGCAAATTTTCACACGTCAGCTGTCTCCTAAGGAGTAACTGAGTAGAATTTATAGTGCTCTATAAAATAGTCGGCACCCGAGATGTATAGAATTATTCAACCCCGGGGAGACAAAAGCAGTTTGAAGGAACACAGCTGAAGCTCATCGAACCACTGAACCAGAGATTGTGTCCAGACACCAGCAGGTAGTACTAAAGAGCCTTCTGTTTCTTCAGCTGAAGCGGTCGTGGCATCAACCACGGAGTTTATAGTTAATTCCATTTCTGTTCAAACTTTTGACCCTTATTTCAAACGCAGAGAAGGTATGCTCAAAACTGACCTTCACGCTCGATGAAGGATAGGAAGTAAGAATATCGCGAATACTTGGCACGCCAGGGCATAAACGGTATGCAAATTTCGTTAACTCCAAGAGGCCTCGCAATTCAAGCTCTGTGGAAACGGTCAGAACGCTGTCACAGACATTCGGTGACCGAACATCGCAGTTCAATACCCAATATTAGTGCTTCAAGCTGGTCAAGAGAGCTTATGACGATCATATCGCGTTTACCGGTAGTGTCAGTGTGAAGTACGAGCGTTCCAAGCTCAGCTCATTTAAGGAGAATCAGTTCAAGTGCATCAACTTAGTACTCGATCTTCAGTCGTCCCATGATGCTGACAATAGGAACAAGCAGCTTCCCAAAATTGAACACGATAGTGATATCACGCTACAGAGCCTCACCACCAAACACCAACTCCTAGTCAACCTGGAGCACGACACGACTTTGATCGGTCAGTTGTCCATCGTCCCAAGGAAATCCGAAAACGACACTGGTCGAAACGGACCAGACTTCCTACAAGTTGTTGGTGCTGTGGTGAGCGAAGCGCTTCGTTGAAACACTGAAGCGTGCGATTCAGAAGTCAAACGGGGGGTCGACAGAGGGGAATTTTGGAAGGTCACCCCTGACATATCGAGCAACGCCTAACCCGAATTCGCCAAACGGGGTTTTACCAACGGAGCCGCATTCCGACGGAAGCTTCGAACACATTACACTATCCGGACGAAGAGAAGGTAGCTAAGTCATCGTAACACACGGATGAAAAAAAAACAACTCAACCGTAATCATGGCGCGCTGCTTCAGCAGGGCTATCATTCGCTAGAGGCGGTTGGCGATATAAACCGGAATTCCTTTCTGCTAACCAAAACGAGCAAGGGGCGGCTTCCGATCAGTCAGTACAGTAAAAGTGACGGCTGTAGAGTATTTTGTGGGACGTTCTGGTGTCAAACAAGATCGCCAAAACTTCCCCTTCTATCTGACTGTAACTGTGATCGACTAGTGTCAGGGATCGGGCCGCATATTCCATGGCCTTCTGGATGTTGTTGGGGAATACATACGAAATCACCGCGCGAATGCCATAATTTGATACATCCGATGCCAGGACTTCCACTGACGGATCGTAGCGAATAAGAAGCAAACCGAAACTTAGCATGTATTTGATGGAGTCGAAAGCTCGTTGGCAGTTTCCTTGATAGCTGAGTGTGACTCTGGGGTGAGGCATACCCAGGGAGAACGAGCTGTAGTGACTGATGAGACTGAGGAACGATCTGAAGGTTGTTACAACTGTAGGCGCTGGCGTTTAATGGCGTCAGTGTTATCCGGTTCTGGTCGGCAACCACGTTCGTCAATGATGAGACCGAGATACTTTATTGACCACATGAAGAAGGTACATTTCCCGCGGTGCAATTCGGAGTTGTACTCCTGAATACGACCGAGCACATAATAAGGAGCAGCCACAATTCGTCAGGGTTGGAACCGATGACGAAGAGGTCGACAAAATAGGCACCATCACTAGAGGTATGCATCAACGTCGTATCCACTTGTTGAAATATGGCTAGCGCTGTCTTGACGCCAAACAGCAGTCGAGTACACTGAAACAAGCTTGGAATGATGGTTAAAAGTTCCATGGATTCCTCCTCGAATTCATCCCGCAGGCAAGCCTCAACCAAATCAATCTTCACAAAGCATTTCCCCCAATTCAGTTTCGCGCGTAAGTCGTTAAAAACGAGGCAGAGGATACCATCATCGTCATCATCGACAGCATTATATCAGTGTTCAGCACCGATCCTTCACTGCCGTACGTAGAAACCAGTGAAGTCTCCATAAAAGCGGACGTTCCCGTTAATCTTCTTCACCATTACGATTAGTGCGGCCCATGCCGAGTAGTTTGTTGGTTGGTGAACACCAGACTCCCACTGTCGGTTCAAACCCTAGTCAACAATGGGTAAGACTGGGTACAGAGCAATCGACCTTACCAGTCAATTTCAGCTCACCCCCAGAAGCATCGCGGACCAATGCCCAGACGGCTTCGTATGAGGTTACCAATTCGATTCCACGTTCGCTCACTGAGCACTGTGACATCAGACTCCATATGAAGCTGAAAACTAACTGGAATATTGTTATGAAACGTCACTAACTGCCTTCGGCAAGCGAATAGACAGAGATTGATGAACTATACGGTGGTGATGACCGCTTCCGTAGCTGAAATCAAGTTTTTCGGCCACGACTATCGCATCTTGAAAATTTATGACGCATGAACAGGTAATAGAGTAGATTGAACTAGCCGCAATACCAACAACATGCGGAAAGTCTGGTCCGTTTTAGACCGGTCTTAGTCTCGGAGTTTCTTGGGACGGTGAGGTTGATTGCATGGACACAACTGCTGGGGGGCACAGGCGACTGACCGATTAAAGCCATGTCGTGCTTCAAAATGACGACTGGTTACAGATAACGAAGAGCTACTTTATGAAAGTCACCGTTTGCCGAAGGATGCACATACTAGCAATTGCTTGTGTTGGTTGAAAGTACAGACCATAGGGGCTTTAATAAACGGCCGATCTTTCGGATCCGGAGAACTAGAACTGGTGGGAAAATCAAGTGGTTCATCGGTTCCGTTTAGCAAGTGAGTTAACATGGGTTTCCAGGTGAATGATGCATTTCAATCCATACCGAACTAGAACAGTGCAATCACATTAGAGTAATAGCCCACTTCGACGTTGGAGCAGAGTCATACTACTGTGAAAGGCAGGGGCATTAAGGCACGGATCTTGTGAGAGAAATATGTTGAACACAACAAAAGCCCCTCAGGGAGTCTGACACTACCGGGGAGCTTAATCTCTCCGTAGTGAATGACCCTCATAGCGGAATTCGGCCGTTTCCGATTATGATTTGATTCCGAGTTAGGCATTCAACACCATAAACTGTGGTGCTCTGGAGATCAGGTCTTACATAATCCGTGATAACCGATTCCCGTGCTCATTGCAGAGTGGTGTAAACAGATGCTAAAACAACCTAAGGGCTGGAAACCTATTACGAACATGTAACTACCATACGTGAAATGTAATTTCTTAGGTGACCCACATGCCATCCGCTCTACCTGAATGGGGGACAGGGTTGGTAACGGTTTCTTTTGAGATCTTTATGCGTATTGTCTCACTAGGCGGTTAACGTTTGAGGCAGCTCGAAGTGGATACGTGCAACAACATGAGAATATTTCCACTACAACGGGGTTTTCAGTTTGACCAAAAAGACTACCCTTGGACAAATGCCATTGGTTTTACGACCACGAAACATTCACGATACCACTCATAGATGTGATCAGCAATGAGCTGCACTATTGATTGGATTTAAATGGAGTGACTGAAAACAAGCATTGTTTGGAATAATATTTGGTAAAATTCTTAACAAGGCGTACTAACTTGCAAAATGTGATGTTTGAAGGAAGCCTGACCCACCTTCAAAGTCGTAGGCACAACAGGAGCGTTGTCAGTATTCCTTGTCCTCAAAGGGGATTTAAAAGGAGCACGAACTCCGGCACTGCGACGCATATTTCTTCGAAATGCGTGCACTTCAGCTGTAAGACTGTGAGCAGAACATTCTATGCTAAAATGCTGGCAAGCGAGCAGGCGCAAACGAAGAAAACGAAACAACTCAAGAACTGAGGTGTGGTAATCTTTATATTGGGGACAGTAAAAATTACAAACTGTGGTAGGAGAATACAGGACGATAACATATATACATACATACACCACGTGAGACCGTCCAAAAATTGTCAATCTTCCTTGGCTGGTATACCTTCTGCGGTACATTGTGGGCAGTACCATTTACCCCGAGGTTTATTGACTAAACCAACACAATCAAAATGGAACCACTCGATTGGACAATCGTGGTTGTCACAGGCTACCATCTCACCATAGGAGACCTGCTGGCACACGCAATAGGTTGGTTCGTTGGGGTCGACGGGCATATCCAAGACTTCCCCCGGGTTGTTAGTCAAGGCGAGGGCCAGGGCTGCAGTTGCAGGGATTCTAAAATAGGTAAAGACGTGTGAAATGAAGTAAAATCCCGACAGGATGTATAAATATGTATAAACCAGAACAATTCCAACTTTGGAGTGTATCAGCTATATGGTCACGACTTCATTTGACGGTGGCAAACGACGGGCGAGTAGAAGCAAGTGTAATTCAGTGTGAATAGTAAAAGTAGTTTCAAGCGAAACCAGCTCGGTCGTAAGGTGGGATGCTGATACCCACACCCTGATCTCGGAAACTAGGGACGCAATGTCATGCCTTCCGTAGCACAATCATATTCTACGACCAGTTTAACCATAGAAACATCTCCGCTATATTGAAAGAATTTCGTACCATTACATCCAGAATCCAAGATAGAGTAATAAGCGATATCTATGAATTATGCGCAAAAACGGAGTCGATGCCACAGCAATCTGCTGCTGCACACGAAACAAGTTCAACACCAACCGAAAGAGTGCTTGTGAATTGCAACGCAAACAACTTTAATGAGTAGCCGTGTTAGAAATCAAATATTCAACCCATTGCTGCCGAGATAATGGGTGGCAGGAAGAAGAAACCCGAAAGTCAGGTCAACCTTCTGACACCACGCATGAAGTTTCCATCCAATCCATATTGTCCCTGTTATGCTTGGACACTAATTTTAGGAACAGTCGTCATTAGGCCATAAATGTTATCATCCATATCGCACGAGTGGCAAAGTTGAGACAGAAGTCCAATTCTTCAGCTTGTACGATTGCCTATTAGAAGATACTACGCCATCGGAACTAAACGTAGGACAACTGAAAGTCAGGCTGGTCAACCGCAAGTCAAGATTCGAAGGAAAGACGGAAGATGAACGACTAAGTCCTATTAATGAAGCCGGATAAATGAGCCAAAATCGTATTGATAGATACATCTGAATAAGTTGATGAAATGAATGACACTTTGCCCTTAAGAAGACGGAAAATCGAAAGACAAGAAACAGGTGACCAAAAAAGCGGTACCAAAAATAGTACACCGTCTAAAACGAGTGAGAAACCGTGATGCCGACGTTTACGAACGAGCTTCACCTCGCTGCTACATCAACACATTGGTCATCTGCTCTACCAAAAGTGTATAAACCTGGTGTACCCCCTCGAGCCTATCCTTGATGTTCAAGTTTTCATTTTATGCTTCAACCAACAGTCCACCTGAACAGTCACACGACAAGCATCAGCATATAGTCACAAAGGTGCTGTTTAGTTTATCAATCAGCTTGGAGATTCAAAGGCCGGTAACCTGCAGATGTTCTTTCCCTTAGCATGGGGCTCATCTACTTACGCGCCGCTTTCCGAGACCTGAGTGAGCGCACCAAGTAATTCCTATCTCGAATGTGAAAGAACTGTCGTAATTTTGAACCCACAAAGTTCAACCTACTCTCAATAGCGGATCCAGCACCATAAAAACAGTCCCAGTAAAGTTTCCCTTGATCCAGCTTGTGATAGATCTACTCAAGAGTAGACTCAGGACAACGACTGAAGGCACTCATCAGGCAAGCGTAAGAACAAGGTCAATACACGGACAATATCTTTGGACTTCAAGTAATAAGTCCAACACGTCTTGAATACTTTCAATTCGGTTCAGTCTGATAGTTAGTTAAACCCTGAAATGAAGCACAAGAGTCATTCGGATTTTGGATTCTGAAGTAGGACAATAGAAACAGACAGCTGAAAATCTACAGGAAGAAAATCTAAGTGGATCAGTGTATTCCGTTTGACGATTTCGTACCGCTAAAATAGTGACGAAACCATATTAATGACTCTTTTGTACTGTTGGTCGTACTGAAGTTCGTCTCACTTCGACCATCCTCGAATGGCTACTTCCCAAGATGAAGACCTGACTTGATAAAATTTTTTTGTGCCGTAGCAATTCACGTAACACGGACCTGCTCCTCTGATGATGAATAGCAATCGGTAAACTCGACTCGAGATGTGAATTGTTCGGAGCAGCTACCGGAGTAAACAAGTAACTGCGTGAGTGGCTGGCAGGTTAGCCACAGGTAACAATATGCAGCTGTCAGTTACAAAAACGTTCCTTCCTTACCCACCTGAGTCACTTATAAGTGCAAAACACCTCGGAGACCGAACAAATCTTCGTGTGTTCAAATCGATCACGTTCCCTGCCCACCGGTAGCTAATCGTGCGATCCTCTGCCAGCTTACATGACTAGTTCAGGTGAATAACGACTGGTCATCAACAGTCAGATTTTCTAGGTCAATAGCATTTAACTCACTTGGGTGATACAACCGGTTCTTGTTCTCCCTTATTACGCGACTTTTTCACCTTCCTCAACTCCTTCTCCGCTGGAAAAAAAAATGAATCAGAAGAATAACTCGTACCTAGGGCTTTCTTGAATTCAAACATGTCAGCATCTAGTCGACGAATTTGTTTGTCCACTAGTTCGTATGCGCTCTCGGCTCGAGATACCTTGTCATTACTGATTTCTTTTCCTTTCTTAAATAAGTTTTGTATTTGCTCCATTTGCCCCATGCGCTCGTCTCTGGTCATTTCCGCAGCATGCTGCATCAGATGTGTGGTACGCTGTTGAATTTCTTGCTTGATTTCCTCCACTTTCTGGTCCAGGTCCCGCATTATCTTAAATTCTTGCCTTAAATGTGGTGGGACATGTTCCAAGTCTGTGGACGAAGAAAAAAGAGAAACCATTGTTATAAACCATTTTATGAAGTGTACGACAAAAGAAAACAATCAAATGAGAGGGAAAGCACCTAGCATGAAGCGACAGTTGGGAGTTGACTATATTGACAAAGTTAGACCTCTTATGAGCAACGAAAAGGTTTCTTCACAGAAATTACGAACATACTCCTCACAGCAGAATCAACGAACTTAGGCGTCTTCGATCCAGTCCAATATACTGCGTGCTCGACCTTATAAGGCCTAGTTACAACGGGAGCCACACTTACTGCAAAGACGTTTTTGGGAACAACAATGGAGTCAGCCCGGTCAGTTGAGCCGGTCTATTTGATTCAGATAGAAGCAATTAATTAAGATGAGCTCCGACTACACATTGTACATCCATTCTTAGACGGAGCGGGTGGAATTCGGCTGAGACGAGCAGCTCGGTGACGTTTCAAGAAGGCGCTCGCGTTATTCCAAAGCCGTCGGAGATTCGCAACAACAGGTGGCCAGTTGAATGCCTGTTGAAAGCGTTCGACCAAACGATTCAGGTGCTCTTGTTTAGGGATGAGTGAGGCATTTTTTCTGTTGGTTATTTCGCTGACAGTATCACCTTTTGGGCCTGTTGGGACTTAGGCGTAGAAAATGAGTAAGTACTTAATATCAGCTATCAAATGATTCTTACACAGAGGGCCACCAAAGTGTGATCATTCAAAAACCCTTGAGATTGATGGCCTAGAACAAAACCAACCTTAATAGAACCAGCCGTGGTAGCTGCTGGACCGTTACAAATCTAACTGCCATGCCACCCGAAGGGAGCACAAGGACTGGGATACTGTCAGTTGCCCAAGCCTAGACAGGGGAAGTCGAGAGGCAGAAATCGGGTTCGAACCACGGACCTTTCAGTCAGTAAATTCGCGCTCTAACCACTTGAGCCGTCTCTCCTCCCGAAGGCCACACATAAGAAATAATGGCTGATACCCTTGAAGATCAAGTTCACTGGTGATGATGGGTGCTTTGCTACTGCTGTGGAGATCTGCGGTGATGGCTTTGCGCTGAAAACAATGGTCTGCGATACGTGGGCATGCGTAACTCGGTCGTGTCCACCAGTGTTTCTAATCGTCAGCTATTCTCAATGACGGTAGACGGACCACATTCAACACAGCCATGAATTGCCCGTTCAAGGACATTGCCCCAAAACTGGTGCAGCACATGAAGCGCGTGACAGGCCATTGTAGCCTTCAAAGGGTAATAATCTCGGCCAGTTACTTTCTGCATCCCTTTAGTCGGACAATACTTGAAAGAGGTGCGCAATCAGCCGATCTCACTGCTATGAACCATATCGTCACTGGACTGGTCACTATTGTCGATAGCATCGTCATTGGCCATAGTGATGACAGTTCCCGGAAAAGACTAGGCGCACCTGTATAGATAGGTTCCATGAGAAGAAAAACGGAATGGTCGCTGTTACAATGAAGATCTTGCTGAATCACCCATTATGTCGAATACAAACCTACTGAAAACAGCTAGCAAGTAAATAAGTGACAAGCCGACTGGCACACGCGCATTGCAGTCTACCCTTGCTTGTAAATTGGAGTAAAGATCAAGGGAAGTAAGGAACGCTTTCGTAACCCCTCGACTCGCACTTATGTATTATAAGTGGGAACGGCATACACAAAAACGGCCTACAGATCAGATATCACCAACAACGGAACCGAGAAGAAACCGTATATACGTCTTGAATCCTGGTTTCAGAGTGTGTGTGTATATGTGTGTACATACCGATGGAAAATTAGTCCAGCGCACAAAAGCGAGCTGCCTGTTATCTAGCTTGTTTCGAATGCGAACGCAGGTTACCAAGGGCAATGAGCGGTGCGGTTTGGAGAACAAATTTAAAGTGTTTTTGGCCGTGGCATTCGATGTACCGACAAATGGGGGCAAATGAATTTCAGTCCTAAAGAGTAGGCTTAGTTGATGACTGGTGTGACCAGTGGTTATTTCCGCGATCCATAGCTGAACGTTGGCTGGAGTATTATCAGGATGCTCATCCCTAGACGAAAAGTTGGTTGGGATTCTCAACCGAGACTTTGACCCAAAAGTCTGACCGCATGGCAGCGATGTAAGAACACCAGAAAAGTCTACGTATGCAAGGAGCAGGTTGCCACACATGTTCAACCATCATCATTACAATTACAACCATCTTCATCGATAACACATCAATCTTTGGCACCGATTATTCACTGCGTCGTAACTTCATCACTGATACGGTTATGGAAGACTCACTACAAACTTCTAATGTCTGTGGGATCGAAATGCGCCCAGAGCATCCGCTCACAGACATCGAGTATGCAGACAACATAGCTCTTCTCGGTTCTGACACCGTCACGATGAAAACAACATTAAATTATCGAAATAATTCTACCTGCATGCGCTTCGTATGTGCAAAGTGTAAAGTGCTGCTCCAAGGATGGGCGGGCTCAAACCCTAGTCCCATGCTTGAGGATGAGACGGTTGAGATAGTAGTCAATTTTTTACCTGAGCAGCTGAACCAGTGCGGGGGGTCTCACCAAAGATGGTAGTTAACCCGAATTTAGAAGATTAGAGTAGCTTTTGTGAACCTACATCATCTGTGGCGTATGCGTGAAGCAGTTTATACGTCAAAGGTCGAGCCTACAATGCTGCAGTGCACCCCATATTATTATACGGGCCGGAAACTTGGCCGCTGCTCGCCGAGGATGTCAAAACACTTTCAGTGTCTGATGGTCGATGTCTCCAGAGCATAGCCCGTCTGGTGCGAACAGTGAGGTTAAAATATGTCGAATGCATTTTGGAAGAAATAACTCGCCCGGTATTGGTAAGCCGAGCACACTTCAAAGATTGCGCTGGCTTGGTCAGGTGCTTCGTATGCCAGTCGATCGACCTTTTAGCACAACCATGTGAAGGGTGGAAACGAAACATGGAAGGTTAAACAATGACTTGGCAGCGAAGTACGAAAGCCACTACCAGCAAACTCAGCTGCGCTGGTCATTGCCACCATTGAATGGGGAAACCGAGAAGGGACATAACAACGGTTAGAGACATTGTCAACCATGGCCTATTCACGCCCTCGATGGCGCTCACCATCATCATCATCATCATCAACGACAGCATGACATCAGTGTTCAACACCAATGCTTCACTGCCGTACAACCATGACTTATTTGAAAGCCTTATTGTAAAGAAAAGAATAAAGGTGGATGGGGGAGGGACTTAGTGCTAGCTTAACACAATCATTCCGAGGTGCCTACACCTCCAGACATTCACTCAGGCAATCTGGACAACTGACAAACTGACAACAAGAACGCCACTGACATCGGTTGGCAGGACGGCCGATGTGGCATGAGTTTATTTGTGTATGTGCTGTGCATGTATGCGCTCATGCATTCGAGTTATTGCTCTCAATGCATAGCTCCAAACCCGGAATTCCCAATGAAAAGTTCACTGACGCCCCTGTATTTACGTATCGATTAAATCAGCTACCGTCTCCAATTCACAGCTATCTACCCCCGATACCTCAAATCATCGGCGGACGAATCAGTGGGAGCTATAGGCACTGTACGGCAAGTACGCGGTTTATACGGTCAATGATGATAATTACCGATTTTTCCAGTGGGTTTTACGAGGGGTATTCGAGATATTGTGAAATACCTAGAGATAAACGCTGTTGTTAGCTCATGCCTTACCGCACTCCTAACTGATACTTCCTCGCTGGGCGACACTGCTTTACTAGAACAATAAGACTGCACGGCCAAGTTTCTCGCAGACTTTTGACAGCTGAACAGAGCTATACTCGCACATACCGAGAGGCCAATACAGCTCCCGGGCTGTCAAAAGACTAGAATTTTGATTCAGACAGATCATCAACTACTTAGGTATGTCTGCCACACGACCTCTATCGTCGAGTTTCATCGCGACTTTTTCACCACTCATACCCACTTCACATTAGTGCGATATCCAACATCGGGCTGCTATGAAAACCAAGAATGTTGACTATTAATCTTATGAGCTTGATATGGGTTCAACCGACTGTCTTTTGATCCAAACTTTGCCGGTGAATCACTCTGGATTACAAGGTGACACTAGATAACCGCTTAGTCCTGTGCTGAAAGTCTGGATCCAAACAAAAATCAACGCTTCACGAACTACTTTGCCTGAAGCGATGCACTATTCGTCACTTCACATAGGTTTCTGAGATTCAAAGAAAGATACGTAAGTCCGTGCAACGCTGTGGTAGACCTAGACACTGGTCACCTTGAAGTAAAAAGTCAAAGTCGCCAGCAAGGCTCACTTGCTGGTGCCCAAAGAATGGCTCGGATGTACGACGAAACGCAAAGAACTGCGCTATGTCGAAATGGATCACGGAAAATGACGTCAAACTGAGTCTTCTGAAGCTAGGAGGGATGCGATTTGTGCCTACCAGACCACCTTCCAGGGGCCGGAAAGGTGAATTTATAATTTTCTCTTAAAGCATATGAGTTTTTCCCGGAGAGCAACAGTTGAAGACCTTGTGGAGCTATCGAAAGAGCGCTGGATGCGTCCCTAGACATCATGCGATGTCTAAGCTCTAAAGAAGCGTTCTCGTTCAGCTATAGTACCTTCTTGCTTCATGACTGCCGTTCAATCCGAAGTAAGCACGAAAGCTGGGATATAGTCGGGTTGTCCTAACCTAGTCGAGATGCTGAGGTTTATTCAAAGCCGAAGCTTTCGGTCGGTAAGTGGGCGTCTTAACTAATGAACTACATCAAGCAGGAAAAACAAAATGAGGCCAAATCAAGTGGTATTTATACAGAACAAGCCGGGGACGTATAATGTACTTGTATTTCACAATTTGAAGTTTGAGCTACCTCGAGTTCGAACTTACAATCTGATCTGAGGTCAGAGGCTGACCGTGTTTTCAAAAATACCGGCTACCACATGGTACGCATGATGGACGTATTCGGCGTCGTTCCATACACGTTGTATTGATCAGAATCCTTTGGAATGCACAGATCGGAGCGCTTCCAACCCTGCCGTATTTTCTTATCCCAAGATCTCCCTAGTTATTACTGGCTTTCTTTCAAGTAGAAATGCAGTAAGATTTTAACCACCGCGAGCAGAACACCGAATGTATTAGAGAAACCACAAAGGTGATTCAACCAGTGGCACTTACTAATTAGCAATCGCCATCCATTAATGGGTGGGTTTAGAAAGCATTATGTCCGCATATTGGACTGGAAGTGCCAGACCAACAAAACTCTGAGTATTCATTCCTACATTCATAATTCGGAAAAAAGCTGACATTGGTGTAACTCTCAGTAAATGCCACCTCGGCAGTGACTGTAGATTGGAATGGATTGGGGGCGGATACCTTAAGCGACGTTATGTTTTGTTAACCGGCCCATTACAGGTGTTTTCGGTTAACCGTTGCCCACGTCACACCTAAGAAATTAGTCATATATGACTACTCAAGGATTGTTAGCAAGTTCACCCGACACTGTTTACTGAAGGTGTGTGAACATGTAGCGTATGAGGTACTTAAGACCTAGCTAGCGAAATTGCTTACCTTCCAGATACTTCTGCAAGTACTCCATGGCGGAACACGGCCTGACTACAGCATAGGAACGCCTGCCAGAGCCAGTAAGCGGACTCAACGACCGAGCTGACCACTGGAGGAAAACGCTGCTATTCGATTGGCTCTTCCAGCTCAGACCACTAGGTTCGCGATAAGCGATAAGCGGAGCTCAGTATTCGCACAATGGTGTAGAAATTTCGAGAGCTATGGCGAATCCGTGATTGACCAAAGCAATCAGGCAGTTGATTTCGGAGTACCAGTCCAAATTTTGGAACCCCATTTAGATATTCCGGGGTCTCCGTTATGCTGGGAAATTACTCCACCAGTTGTTTCCGCCAGAGGTATGATTGCTACATTGGACAAAAAATTTCGTGAGCCGCAGAGATGTGAAGATAGATTGAGTTTATTTTTGGCTTGAGCACATACAAATAAAATGCAACATCTTGACGCTAAAAGTTTTACCACACTCTCAAGGATTTTCTAGTTCAAAGCATTGTGCGGCTAATGGGCATCTCGACAAGCCGAACGCCTATGTACTCGGATCACTATTCGCCTTCTCTGCACGCAGCCTCATGAAGATTGGTTGAAAATTGAGAAGGAAGCCGTCATTTTGCGTTTTTTTAACATAAAGAAACCAACATAGTTTTCAGTATTTGGTTGACAGTGGGCAGTAGGCAAACAACTCGGGCCTTTCCACGACAAAGATATGGGGTATCAAATCTGACGCTTTTAGTCTAGCTTATGCTTGTAATTGTTTCCTTTCTTCTCTTCCAACAACGCATTGGGCAGAACGTTTCAGAGTTCAACGATTCTGTGACAAACACAGGGTCGCTAATAGCTTGAGCCTCTCTAGATTCGCCCAATCTGGTCCATGTTTCTCCTGGTTGGGGCATATATCACGGATCCACAGGCGCCGTATGTATGGCCGCAAGATGTCCACATTAACTAATCGAATCTTCAATGAGTATTCACCAAGATTCATCGGCCGGGCGAAAGCCCGATTAGTATGGACTGATGCCCCGAGCGTGCAAATGTCATCACGTCGATGCATTTTGCAGCAGTAGAGCCCAAAAACGTGAAATGCATTCACACTTAACACACTTCCAAAAGACAAGTGTTTGCACTTGTTTCACAAGGCTATGTATAACTCTGGAATATTCAGGGGGACTATTCAATCCAATTTTGTGTACTCGGGATTGTCATCATTACAGATTTTCAACCACGTGTTGATGTCGCCCGCGCGTGCCAAGCAAGTTGAGCAGATGAATTGGAGAAGGTCATTGGCATAGACAGGAAACCATGATGATCTCTGGACAGGAGTTTGAGGAGCATCGGATAAGGCAGCTGCCTCTAAAATATTTCTTTCCTTTTCCCTCACATAAAAGCTGCGGGAGGGGCTAATATACTTGATCTCGCGAAACATCATCGCACGGATGATTGCTCTAGCTGATCCGTATCAAAAAATAGTCGATGGAAGCGGCCACGACAACGGTTTATTTATACAGTCGAAAATGCGCAAAGGGCGATGGACTCGAACTGGGGCGAGTGCAATGCCGGGCAACGCTGTATCTCAATTAACTGCATCAAACGAAAACTTCATTAGCTTGAATATTAAAGACATCGGGTGGATTCGCTAATCCTTTTCGGGGTTGCTAAGAACAAGGGGCATCTGAGTGCATTTTCCACTCAAACATGCCGTTAACTTCGTGGTATAAAGAGAACGTGGCTTTCTTCTTTGAAGTTTCCTTCGCGTATTTGCCACCCAAGTAAAATGTGAGTGCCGCTTTAGCATAATAGATTTTTTGTGATGTCGAGTGGCATTGTAGACCGAATGCTAGATAAGTCTTCATTAATTTCCTCAATATAGCCAGAATAGCTCTAACGATATTGCCGCCTTAAGATTATTGGTGTACAAAACTTATGTAAGCAACCTGGTTCCAAGACAGCGGTTATTATCGAATTACTCCCCCATCTATAGGAAAACCGCCACTCTGGTTAGGGCACTAACTACCTTGTCCTTTGAACTTATCCGTTTAGTGTATTTCCAGCTATACCAACATTGAAACTTTCAGACCTCATTCAACCCAAGCCTGGAGAGGCTATTCTAATGCCACGTCTAACCTAACTTGCAAAGTCAAGGAAATATTTATTGGGGTCGCGGATAAACCTTGGATGCTGATTTTTGGCATATTTGTAGCCGGTTTACTTAGGCACTACAGGACGTATGAAATATATGGCATGCGCGGCTGAGTTCCCGCCAACAGCAACATCATGACACCTGTTAATAGAGGGGTCACACAAAGCGTATCTTCGAGCGTGGACGTACTGTATTTTTTCTTTAAAACAATTTGATAGAGAGTAGGGGTTATAAAAGCCGGTCATCAGCTGCAAACGTGAATTGGTTTCGCCGAAACTTGGGGGTTCAATAAGTCAAAAATTCCACGGGCAGTTACTTTATTAGAGATGAACGTTTCAGTCTCATGTTGCCCAGGGCTTTTTCCTCGAATGGGCAAAATGTCAGGGCTACCGACGTGTGACTGCCAGTTTACTGGATATAGCAAAAAGTTAAACAATAGCATATTTTAACGATCACTGATGCTTTCCAAATCGGAGATGACAATTAAAAGATTGTTTTGAATTATACCTGGGATAGTGAGTGAGTTACGCTCGTCAGACTTGGAAAATTAGATGAGTTTTTCACAGAAATCGGTCACAACAATTTTTAGAAAGCTTGACCTGAGTGCACTTTTGATGCATCACCGCTAAGGACTCAATCATGCACAACTAGTCAGGCGACAAGGCAGTGTTCTCGGGCATTCGAATGTGAATTACTACCTTCCTTGTGATGGGTGTTCCAGTTGAAAGGCTCGGCATCACTAATCGCGATTACGGAATCCTGGAGAACAGGCCTATCTTTTGCGTTTGCTCTCAACGGCTGCGCGCGGTGTCACATAATCAGGCTAATAGTAGTAAACACTGAGCCCCAGTAGTAGGCACCGTAGATAATGAGGCAGCATCTAGGCACGGGAGCCTGAGTCAAAGGCCAAAGTAGTCCTGTAGATGCTTCACTGCAAAGTTGTCACCCATCAAGTCACGGTACGCTAGCAATGGGCTAAGTTTTGCACTCAAACAAGTATGTGAACGAAGTCTTTCACTGCACTACTCATAAGGTTGCTGAAAATTTTTCGGCAACCCACAACCGGTTTGCCCATCTCGGGACTCATCAGGTATGCGCAGTAACAAAGTTTCCCTCAACCTCGTGTTCTACTTGAAACGAAATTTCTCGAAACTAGCAAAATACACTCATTTGCAAACAAATTTGGTTTTGCGAGGGGCTCGCCTGGAACCCAGCTGAATCTCCTGTTGGTGACGTGAGATTAGTCTGGGTTTCAGGTGAGTCTCTCGCAAAACCAAATTTATTTGCAAACGACTATACTGTTCTGAAGCCCTTCATTGCTAAATCTATTTATGAGGTTAACACGTCATCTCAGTCCACTAAAACCGGTGATTTAAATCCCTGTCTGATTGCACTCCATTTCTGCGTTGTACCAACTTATTCATAATCGTGAGCCAGAATGATACGGCCTACTCTCCGCCACAGCTATCGATGGACCACAAAAGATGTGGAGGAAATGGATGTTCATGGAATATAGTACGTGGAATACGTCATACATACAAGGCCCGGTGACATTTTCACTGCGGGTTTCGCAGAATGACCAGAAAAGTCAATTATCCAGCTCTCCTGATCCTCCGTGTGCACCAGCTGCGTCCATCTTGAGGAATCTAAGCATTCCACAAACAGCATGATGGCTGTCACTGATCAACTAAAGTCCCTACTTCATAGTCGAATAAAACAGTACACATTTTACGGCTTGATAGAGACGCTCGGAAAAAGCTGGTATTTCTTTTAAAGGTTTTCGAAGATGCAAAAAGAAAGAGCTCAATATCCTGGATGAATGCCGACAGCGAGCTTCCCTCCGTGAACGTGTCGCTAGCACTCATGATTTAGGCTAAACTGTCTACAAAGTCTACCCAGGTATTGGACTAAGCATTTAGGACCACGACGATATCTCGAGTGAATATACGCCTGAGATAATCGTCCTTAGTCGTCTGGGGGTTGTTTTCCGGAAAAAACCTGCCAACAGCCATTGCACAATCACTCGTTAGTGATGTCGTAACGGAATATGAGTGCGCATCACCGCACGCAAAATGGATACGCAAAAAGGGAAGCAAACAAACATTTGAGCTTCTAATCGCATGTTCCTTTTAACTGCTGCCCAGATTATTTTAAGGCGAGTTCACAGTTTTCAAAGAAATTTTTAAAAATCACGCATGGATCCGTGAATTGGCTCCTAATGGCTAAAAACTGGCCCACAGTGGCCAGAATAGGGAGGCGCGAAACAGGCGAGTGCTTGGAGAGATTTCAGCCAACCTCAAACTCACGACAAGCCCGAGGGTAGTTAGGGGCTTTTGTGCCCCTAATGGCACACCGAATTAGCTTACCTGGGCTCCAGATGAAGGCTACAACTCAACGATCCCAGACGTCATCAACGCAGGAGTTAAGTCACGCCTCGCAATGGCAAGGCGCCCAACATATGCAAAATCCCCGTTGCCCATTTACTTAGTGGGTAACTAGTTCGCAGCCCATGTGTTGCAAACTATAAATTGTTTTGGGTTAGCAGTGTAGAATTAAGTAGTAAATTCCACCGACATATCAGCCACAATCGTTGACGTCTGGTAGTGCTGGGAAAGGGATTCACAAACGTTGTAAATGCGAATTTAAAAGCCTAAGCTCCACTCCGTTAAACGTGGCCCGTGTGATTTTGAGTTCATGCGACTCGCATAACCCCGAGGGTCAAAGCCACGAATTTGACATCATTGTAACAAAGAATCCCATGTACACCCAGTTGGTTTCGCCAGTTCAAAGTGACCTGTGAGCCCATAAAACACAGAAAGAAAGCTAATGCAATCAAACATGCCATCCGAACCTATCCAACTCTAAGAGCCGCTTGTTAACTTCAAAGTTCATTGTTCTCAGAGAACCAGACCCTTGGAAGTGCAGTAAACAAATGATATTCCAGGATGTTGGCTTCT